ATGTGCTCTCACCACAGGAAGGTCACCGCCAGGAAGAGAACCGGCCATCCATTTACTTAAGATTTCTACAGGATCCAGCAGTCTGCATGACATGGGGCACAGGTAAGTAATGTGAATGCAAATATTGACTTAAATTTAGTCAAAAATAATTTTTTCTTCTATTTAAGAATAGAAGAACACAACTCGTTGCGTGTATAAAAGACACCTGTCCATAGAATCTCTCTTTCATTCAAACCTCACTACAATGGGCAAGCCCAAAGAGCGGTCAACGTACATCAGGGACAAGATCGTAGACTGGCACAAGGCTGAAATGGGCTACAATACCATCAGCAAGAAGCTTAGTGAGAAGGAGACAACTGTTGGACCGATTATTCGTAAATGGAAGAAATGCAAAATAACCATCAAATCGCCTTCAGTCTGGAGCGCCATTCAAGATTTCACCTCATCTTGTAAGGATGATCATGAGAAAAGTGAGGGATCAGCCCAGAACTACACAGGAGGAGCTTGTGAATGATCTCAAGGCAGTCGGGACCACAGTCACCAAACAAACCATTAACACAATACATTGCCATGGATTGAAATCCAGCAGTGCCCACAAGGTCTCCCTCCTCAAGAAGGCACATGTACAGGCTCATCTGAAGTTTGCCAATGAACATCTAATGATTCACAGAAGGATTGGGAGAAAGTGCTGTGGTCAGACGAGACCAAAATTGAGATCTTTAGCATTAACTCGATTTGCCGTGTTTGGAGGAAGAAAAATGCTATGACCCTAAGAATGCCATCCCTACAGTCAAGCACGGAGGTGGAAACATTATGCTGTGGGGTTGTTTCTCTGCTAAAGGTACAGGTCGACTTTGCCACATTGAGGGGCCAATGGATTGTAAAATATTGGATGAGAACCTTCTTCCCTTAGCCAGAACACTGAAGATGGTCGTGGATGGGTCTTCCAGCATGACAATGACCCAAAACCTACCAACAAGGCAACAAAGGAGTGGCTCAAGAAGAAGCACATTAAGGTCATGGAGTGGCCTTAGCCAGTCTCCAGACCTTACTCCTATAGAAAATGTATGTAGGGAGCTGAAACTTCGAGTTGCCAAGTGACAGCCAAGAAACCTTAAGGATTTAGAGAAGGTCTGTAAAGAAGAGTGGACCAAAATCCCTCCCGAGATGTGTGCAAACATGGTAACCAACTACAAGAAATGTCTTACCGCTGTGCTTGCCAACAAGGGTTTCTGCACCAAGTACTAAATCATGTTTTGCTTGGGGATCAAATACTTATTTTACTCCCTGAACTGCAACTCAATTTATATTATTTGTATCATGTGTTTTTTTCTGGATTTTTGGTTGACAGTCAGTCTGTCTCTATCATTTAAAATACTATGATAAAAATTATAGACCCTCAATTTCTTTGTAAGTGGGCAAACTTACACAAAACTTGCAGGGGATAAAATAATTACTTTCCCCACTTTACATGCATCTGATTTGATGCAGGTGCTATTTGTCCAATGATTTTCTACCCAGCTACTTTGATTTTTCAATCAAAGGATGTCAGGAGGGAGGGTGCCACATTATCACCAAAAGTGAAAGTAAAGTTGAATAGTCACAAGAACAAGTATACAGAGAAGATCTTCCATTGGGGACATTAGCTCTGGTGACTGGCAGAGATTTCCTTCACTACCTACTGTGGCTATGGAACAAGAAATTAAGGGAAATCTTCCCAATGAGACACAGATGGCAATAAACGCAACAGGGGTTATAGCCCCTCCTCACTATATCAAAATAAGGGAAAAAAAAGGTTTTGCTTCTTTTTTTAAAAACTGGAACCAGCATAAGTTCCAAACCATCATGCTTTCACCTATGTTTTAATGACATTTGGAGTCACACTGAACCATTTCTTCTGCCTCATCAATAGCCTATAAAAAAAATGAACCAAAGACTACAAATTTTAAAGGTCCCCTTCAGTCAGAGCACATGCGCCAATCACAAGACCGCTGAATAGCGGTCACAGTGGTCACATGATTGGGAGCAAGTCTCACCATATTATTAAAGACTGGAAGCGATCTTTGGCAGGTGGGCTTTCAGCACAGAAACATTAGCACCCTCTTTGCTGATGCACATGTGTTATGTGGATGGAAAGAGGTTAAGCTGCGTTACAAGGTATTCGAATATCCAAGCTGCTGATTCTCAGAAACGTATCTTCTTGCTTTGGTTTGGCTTTGGGTCTGCCAGACCCATTCTCATTTGAGTTGCCCCTGGTTTCTCACTGACCTTTCGAAGATGAAGGAATCTAATCACAGATACCTTGGTTTGTAAGTTTTCACTTTTTGGCAACCTTTTTTGGTTCTTACTTTTAAAATATTTCAGAATACACACAGGACTTCACACTCTTAAAAAAAATTATTGAGAAGTGGTGATCTAAAATGTTTGACTGGTAGTATATCTACAAGCTAGGTTTACTTTTTACATATTCTGCCTGTACTCGTACACCGTGATCACCGGTTTATCATTTCCCACTTACATCATGTTCTTCAGCCTGGCTAAAAACTTTGTTTTCGGGTGATTTATTATGATATTTCAGCAATAACACATCAAGACTGCCAACAGCACAGACTGACAAGAAAAATCTTCCAAAAAGAGAGAATCTACAATTCTGTATATGAAATAAACTATTAGATAAAAAAGTACTTCTTTTACAATGTAAATGCCATATCTTATACTAGCAGAAGTGTGCCTTTCTTATATTAGCATAAAAAAAAGAACACATTTCCAGAGTGTTTCTGCAAATGTATCATCTCCACATCCCAAATTCAGCAGTGCACATGCAAACACAACTGCCCCACTCTGAACCCCGCTCAAAAGCATCCTTCCACATGCACAGACACATGCTATGATGATAATAACTGCCATATTATATATATATATGTGTGTAATATATATATATATATATATATATATATATTATTAGGTTACCAGTAGTTTCCTTTAAAATACAAGCATGGAAAGAGATTAAAACATTGTGGAGCAAACATTTCACTGGAAGTCGCACGGTTTCAAAGTTGGTTCGGTGTAACTTGGGACTTACCATCAGACTACATTATTAAAAATATAAAAACAAGCAACCATGTTTAAACAAAAAAAAAAACTTTGTAAACTTAAATTACAAATATGTATTTCTTAAAACTACACTATACTGTAGTTTACCTTTAAGTATAAATACAAAAATCTGAACTTAAATTGATATGTGAATTTCACAATTTGCTAACTGGTTGACAGTAACAAAATAATGTAGTGTCTCAAAATGGCACTTACAGCTATATAGTAAACTTTTGCCTTTTCCACCAGCTGCCAATTCTCCTTCAGGTCGAGGTGCTTTGTTTTATCATAGCAATTAGCAGCAGCCAGGTTAGCCACCAGAGACCTAAAAAACACATTTGTGTGTCATGTTATTGGGCTATGTTCATCTATAAATAAAAAAAATGTAGGTCATGCAATCTTAATGTGGCAGTGTGTGCCAAGTGCTCCGCAAACTAATACAATGTCCTTCTCCCAGTGTAAATGTGCATAAACAAAAAAGATCATTACTTGACATACCTTACTCTAAAATCACAAAAAAGTATAGAGCTGAAAAAGATTGAAATATATCTGGTATATTATTGAAAAAACACCACAGTAAAAACACTGGATATAAGACAAATATTAACAAAATCTAAAAGGCAATTTTTTTTTTATTTGGATAGAGTGATGAGGAATTAGAACTCCTGTTAGGTTTTTTTTTTTGCAGTCTGTGCCCTTGTTGCAGAGATTTACTCATCCCTCCAAGAAAAAAAATAAACCCAAAAATTTGAGGAAAAGGAAAAACAGGAATAGAAAGGAAATCTTCCTATAGAGATATTCGCTTTGAATGACAACTGTCTAAAGAGGGTTTTCCTTCATTTTGGAAACACATAATCCCACTTACTGTTGGGTCTACAGAACAGGAAGTGAAAGGAATTCTCCCTAATGAGACACAGATGGCAGATACAAAAAAACTGACAACAGGTTTACCTCTCCCCTACTCTATCCAAAATAAGAAAGCGACTTTATATAGACCTTAGGCAGATATTAAAAACAATGGGAAGTAGTCAGGCTTCATGTTGTAGTGTAAAAAAAAAAATATTTGGTTGTAGCCTAAACATTTCTCTTCAATAATCAATAACTGGAGATATGCAATAAAAGATTTACGGTCATATCAGACAATATTGTCTTGTGAGAAGTTATATAATTTCACTGCTTGAATTACAAATCCACAAATATTCATCTGAACGATGAATTTTTACTTGATAGGTATCTTTCGACACTTTCTTCGTATCATTTAGTAAAGCTTACATTCAAAGAAAAGTTGAGTTCTATTTAACCCGTAGAAACCAAAAGATGGGCATCAATAATATTATTTCAATCCTTACATACATACATACATATATCTATTATATACAGTTATTCATCCTATTTTATTTTGCTATGTTTGTGTGACTGTTTGGTATATATTCAAATATATTTTTTTTATACTTCATAAAATAGGATTTTTTTTTACTTATTGTAAACTTTTTTGGAAAACAACCCCAATTCTAAAAAGATGTTTGGGACACTGTAAAATCAACATAAAAGCAGAATGCAATGATTTGTAAATCTCATAAACTCATATTTTAATCACAATAGAAAACATATCAAAAGCTTAAGCTGAGAAAATGTACCATTTTAAGTAAGGTAATTTTGATGGCAGAAACAGGTCTCACAAAATCTGGGACAGGGCCATATTTACCACAGTGTAGAATTCCCTCTTCTATTAACACTCTTTAACCACCTTCCACCTGCCCTATAGTACAATGACGGGCGCAAGGTGGTTATCTCGTTCTGATAGGACGTCATGTGACGTTCTACCATTCCCACTGCGCAGCGGATCACGGAAAGAGCCGAAGATGTCGGCTCGGTCATGTGATCAGCTGATCACATGTAAACACAGAAATGCCGGTTATTGGCATTTCTCTCCTCTCGAGCTGTCACGCTGACAGCTCGAGAGGCGAGGAGAGCCGGTAATCGGCTTTCCGCGGAGGGAACATGTACACTGATCATCAGGGCACTGATGATGTGCCCTGATTATCAGTGTGGCCCCAGAAGTGCCACCTGTCCGTGCTCATCAGTGCCATGTGCCAGTGCCCATCAATGACACATATCAGTGCCCATCTGAGCTGCCTTTCAATGTCACCCATCAGTGCCAGTGCCACCTATCAGTGCCACCTATCAGTGCCAGTGTCGCCTATCAGTGCACATCAGTTCCAGCCAGTGCCGCCTCTCAGTGCGCATCAGTGCCACCTATCAGTGCCAGTCAGTGCTGCCTATCAATGCCATATATCAGTGTCATGTATCAGTGCTGCCTTTCAGTGCCCATCAGTGATGCCTGTCAATGCAACCTACCAGTGCCTCCTCATCAGTGCCACCTATCAGTGTCCATCAGTGCAGCCTATCAGTGCCCATCACTGCAGCCTCATTAGCGCACATCAGTGAAGGAGAAAAATCACTTATTTACTAAATTGTATAACAAAAACTAAGAAAAAACTTTTTTTTTCAAAATTTTCAGTGGTTTTTGGTTTAAGAAAAAATAAAAATCCCAGAGGTGATTAAATACCACCAAAGGAAAACTCAGTCTCAAAAAAATGATAAAAATTTCATATGGGTACAGTGTTGCATGACCGCGCAATTGTCAAAGTGTGACAGTGCTGAAAGCTGGAAAATGGCCTGGACAGGAAGGGGGTTATAAGTGCCCTGTAGGCTAGTGGTTAAACATCTGGGAACTGAGGAGACAGTTGCTGGAGTTTTAGAATGTTGGAAGGAATGTTGTCCCATTCTGGTCTGATATAGGATTCTAGCTGCTCAACAGTCCTAGGTCTTCTTTGCCATATTTTTTGTATCAAGATGTGGCAAATATTTTCAAATGGTGAAAGGTCTGGAATAGAGGCAGGCCAGTTAAGCACCCAGACTCTACTACTATGAAGCCATGCTGTTGTCACAGATTTAGTATGCAGTTTTGCATTGTCCTGCTGAAATATGCAAGGTATTCACTGCTAAAGACATTGTCTGGATGGGAGCACAAGCTGCTCCCCAAAATCTGGATATACTGTATTTTTCAGAATTGATGGTGCAAGCTGTCAATTTCATATGCACCACTGCTCCTCTATACCTTCAGAGCTGCAGGCTTTTGAACTAACAAGCTGGAAGGTCCCTATCCTCTTTAATTCAGAGGACGTGGAGCCCATGGGTGCCAAATTGCAACTAGTCTGAGGACAGAATATGATTCCACTTTGTAACAGACCATTTCAAATGAGTTTTGGCCCAGAGGAGACAGCTGTGTTCAATTATGCTAAGATATGGTTTCTTCTTTGCATGAGAGAGCTTTTGGATGTAGAGGCGAATGGTGTTCATTGTCAGTGATTTTTGGAAGCATTCCTGAGCCCATGCAATGATGTCCATCACAGAATCATGCCTGTTTTTAAATACCGTATTTTTCGCACTATAAGACGCACTTTTTTCCCCCCAAAAAAGGTGGGGAAATGTCAGTGCGTCTTATGGAGCAAATATGGAGCGGCCGGTCCGGTATTTCCACTGCCGCCGTGTCAGAATACCGGGCCGGCCGCTCAGCTCTACAGCGGGACCTTATAGAGAGGACTGCTGACCTTTGGGGGGGGGGGGGGGGGGGGGGGGGGGTACCTGAATTTGACAGGTACCCGCTCCCACTTCCGTGGAGTTGTTCTTTCATCTTACCCGTTCCTCTATCCAGCGGCGCGGTCTTCCCGGCTTCTGTAGTGTGGGCATGACAGCCGGGTGCCAAGTGCGCATGCTCAGGAAGCGGTGCTTTTTGTGAATGGTAAGGCGGCACCTGGGACACATGACAGATCCCAGAAGCCGCCGGACCAATCACAAAGCGCAAGTGCTTCTCGCTCATGCGCACTGGGCACCCGGCTGTCATGCCGAGCACCATTACAGAAGCCGGGAAGACAGCGCGCGGCTGGATAGAGGAACAGGTAAGATGAAAGAACAACTCCGCGGAAGTGGGAGCGGGTATCTGTCAAATTCAGGTACCCGCTGCCCCCCCTCCCCAAAGGTCAGCAGTCATCCCCTGTACTATCCACAGTCTCTGGTCATCCCTGTGCTGTCCGCAGTCTCTGGTCATCCCTGTGCTGTCCGCAGTCTCTGGTCATCCCTGTGCTGTCCGCAGTCTCTGGTCATCCCTGTGCTGTGTCCGCGGTCTCTGGTCATCCCTGCACTGTGGCCACAGTCTCTGGTCATCTCCTGCACTGTGGCCACAGTCTCTGGTCATCTCCTGCACTGTGGCCACAGTCTCTGGTCATCTCCTGCACTGTGGCCACAGTCTCTGGTCATCTCCTGCACTGTGGCCGCAGTCTCTGGTCATCCCCTGAACTGTGTCCGCAGTCTCTGGTCATCTCCTGAACTGTGTCCGCAGTCTCTGGTCATCTCCTGTACTGTGTCCGCAGTCTCTGGTCATCCCCTGTACTGTGGCCGCAGTCTCTGGTCATCCCCTGAACTGTGGCCGCAGTCTCTGGTCATCCCCTGAACTGTGTCCGCAGTCTCTGGTCATCTCCTGTACTGTGTCCGCAGTCTCTGGTCATCTCCTGTACTGTGTCCGCAGTCTCTGGTCATCTCCTGTACTATGTCTGCAGTCCATTAGTTCAGAATTTTTTTTTCCTGTTTTCTGCCTCTAAAACCCAGGTGCGTCTTATGGTCAGGTGCGTCTTATGGAGCGAAAAAAATACGGTACTTCCCACCCAGGCCAATTCTGGCATTTCTCTCCTACATATAAAATATTCATCATTGTTTTGCTAGAAAATTACTCAGTATCCCCAAATATATTTATATTTTTTAGCATTATTTATTTGAGAATAAAATGGCAGTCGTTGCATTTTTTTTTTTTTTTTTTTTTACATTGCATGGTATTAGCACAGCAATTTTTCAAACGCAAATTTTTTTGGAAGAAATGCACAATTTTTAATGAAAAAAAAAAACCATAACCCAATTTTTCATAAAATATTAAAGATGTTATGCTGAGTAAATAAATAGATGTAAACATCTCTTGTAATTGGAATAAGGCATGACAGGTCCACTTTATAGAGAGATCTGGTGTCTATAAGACTCTACCATACCTTCTCTATGCTGAAAAGCATAAGGAGAAAAAAAAAAAAAAAAAAAAAGAAGAAGATCAAAGGCTTTCCAGCAAAAAAAAAAAAAAAAATGTCAGTGTTTACATCTGCCAGAGCCAGAAGTGACATCATGACTCAGGACCCAAGACCATGCGGTCCACGCCAGCTCTATGGTAACCCTCTGCTGCATCGGTTCTCCAGCTCCCCGATCGCATGGGAGAGCAGGAAGAGCTGCTTGTAAAAGCAATCCAGCGGCTAATCGGCCGCTATGATGGCTTTTAATTAAAGAGGGAATCGCCAGCTCTGACAAAAAGATATCTGTGAGGCAGCACAGTGGCTAAATGGTTAACACTTCTGTCTGACAGTACAAGGGTTGTTGGTTCGAATCCCAACTAAGGCACCACCTGCCTGAAATCTGCATGTTCTCCCGATGCCTGCGTGTGTTTCCTCCAGGGACTCCAGTTTCCTTCCACACTCCAAAGACATGCTGGTAGGTTACCTGGATTCTGTCAAAAATGGCCCTAATATGTGTATGTATGAATGTGAGTTAGGGACCTTAGACTGTACACTCCTTGAGGGTTAGGGACTGATGTGAATGTTATTTATATATATATGTAAAGAGCTGCGTAAATTGACAGCGCTATGCAAGTACCCATAAATAAATATCTGGATGATTCCTGTAGCTGGAAGCGTCATCCAGGTATCTCCACTCAAACCTGAGGATGTCATGATATCATGCTGGTGTGTAGCGGTTAACGCAGAGCCATCTGAGGGCCCGAAGTTTTATAGGCATCCAATATTTCATTTCAATCTTGTCCTTTGCGCACAAAGATTTCTCTAGATTCTCTAAATCTTTTGATATTATGTACTGTAGATGATGATATATTTAAAGTCTTTGCAATTTTATGTTGAGGAACATTATTCTGAAATTGTTTTACAAATTCTAGACGCAGCTATTCACAATCATGTTACTGGCTTGTTACCTAAATCAGCTGCAAAATGTTCTTCAAGATCTTCCCTGTTAGTACCACTTTGCCAACTTTTCGTTGCCCTGTCCCAAATTTTTCGAGACACTTGCAGCAATCAATTTGAAAATTACCCGTTTTCCTAAAATGGTAATTTTCTCAGTTTAAACATTTCACACGTTTTATCAGTTATTGGGAATACAATATGGATTTCAGATATTGCCAAATCATTGCATTCAGTTTTATGTAGATTTTACAGTGTCCTTATTTTGGAATTTTGGCTGTACATTGCAGAAAAAGGATCAATATAAAAAGGTATACAGGGGTGATTCTGCTGCCTTCAGGAGTTTGAAAACTAGCAAAACAAAACTAAGGATAGTCCAGTATAAACCATCTCACTCCCAACATGCACCAGCTTTGTTTGCAAGCAATAGTAGTGGTGGATCATTAGCCTTTGAGGCCACAACATAACCAAAGTAAAAAAAAAAATTGGCAATTGAATTTTGAAGGGTACACAGAAAGCACACATCAACATTTTCAACAATACATAAAAATTACAAAAAGGTTTATTTAGCAAAACAAAATTAAAATAAAATAAAAAACCTTTCACATGGAAAGTGTATGGATGACACATGATACTAAATCATCAATGACGGAGATTTAAAATAACCACTCTAAGGTCCCTGTGGCCATCACAAAGGACCTGTTTGTACTGTTTGCTGCTGGTTAAGGTATCTTAAGCTACATAACGAGTCCACTATGTAGGCCTCTCCAATATTTTCACCACTGGGTTTTATTTTTTATTATATAAAAAAAAATCCCAATAAGCATATATTCATTGGTTTGTGTTAAAGTTATAACATTTACAAAATATGGTATATACTGCATATTTGAACATTAAAAAATTCCAATGTACTGTTGGCCTATCATTTACTGAGGCCTTTAAAATGCCCATTGGAAAGTACAATGAGTATATAGTAAGGAGTTTTAGCTTTGTTATTTTTGTGAAAATGTTTTTGAAAATTTAATTTTAATTTTTTTACATACTGTCACCAGAGCAGTACAGTGTCATATGACTTATTCAATCGCTTTTTTTTTTTTTTTTTAACCCCCCCCCCCCCCCAAAAAAAAATTTTCATCGGTAGTTCAGTGTCACCATGGGGTGATCAGGGATTTCTCTTCCCCCCCCCCCCCCCACACT